CCTCTTGCTTGTTTATTCAGCTACCTTTCATACATAGCCGATACCTCTAGCCCAGGAACGGCACCAGTCACATCAATCAGTGTGCTGGCGAGTTTATGTCCACTTGACACAAGCTAGAATCAATAGAGAGGAGAGAACCTCTACTGAGAAAATGCCTCCACAACTTCATGCTGTAGGAAAGCCTGTAGGGCATTTTCTTAGTGATTGATGGAGATAGCCCAGTCCATTGTAGGTGGGGCCATGCCTGGGCTAGAGATCCTAGGTGTTATAAGAAAGCAGGCTGAGCAAGCCAGTAAGATCACCCCTCCATCAGTTCCTGCCTCCAGGTTCCTGGTGTTATTCCTTTTGATCTTTGGTCCCTTTAAGGGGCAAGCCACGCCCATTGCCAGCCACTTCTGACCCCCTCGTCGCCATCTTAACCCCTTCCTTCTGTCCCCCTCTCTTGGCATGCGCACATGTGTCTCCTCTATGTCTGTCTCCATGTCTCTCTGCCTCTCCGTCTCTCTGCCTCTTCTTTAATAAATGTTTATCTTTATATTCAGCCTTATGTTTATTTATTATGTCCTTTAAGCCTTTTATCCACCGCACCTGATCACCCGCCCGCCTGACTCTCCCGGCTGCATGGCTGGTACCAGCCTGTCCAGGGCGCGCTCCGGCTGCCACTCACCGCGGGGAACCTGCACCGCTTTGGCGGCAGCCTCTGCCTGGCTTGCAGGCCACTCAGGGAACATGCCAGTATTATATTTTTTAAGAACAAAACCTGGTCTATGAGTTCCTGACTTCCCTAAATAATGAACAGTGATGTGGAAGCATAAGTCAAATAGACCTTCTCTTCCCCAAGTTGCTTTTGGTCACGGTATTTTATCACAGCAATAGTAACCCTGACTAAGACAATCAGTGCCTTATCACCAAGAAGACACCGAAAGCGAAGGAAGCTACTGCCTCTCCCTGTAAAACTTTAGGACAATTCTGAGCCCTCTCAGTCTCAGCTGCAATGCTTCCCCCTCACCCCTGGGAACCAGGAATCTAACAACTACCCACACATGTACTGAAATGTTGGGAACTTTCCATCATCTCCTTGAATCATTGTGAATGTTCTCCAAATAGAACCCATAGGTGTTGACTCAGTTAACAACTACACATGCACGTACTACTTGATGTTTTGACTCAGTCCCTGGGAAAGGGGCAAAGTGACCCTCAGATGTTCCCCCTTACCTCATCTGATCTGGCAACCACTCTCCAGTCAATTATTGGTAATAGCCCTTTTGAATAAGCCAATCATAATAGTTGAGGAACAACCCTCAGGCACTCCACTTCCTTTTGTGGCTTTTTCCTTTAAAAGTAACCTGTACCAGCTATTTGGGGTCTTTCTGGCCTCTCTAATGCTGAAAGACCCTGTCATGACAGAATTAATAAAATCCTCATGCTTTTATATCAGCTGTGGTGTGAGAGATGGTCTCTTGGGGCGACTCTTCCTTGGTGATTGGACTCTAGGGTTCAACATCCCAAAGACCAAATCCAAAGCAAAGGCCTTGAAAGCTAAAAAAGCAGTGTGGAAAGGCATCCACAGCCACAAGATCCATACATCACCCACCTTCCAGCAGCCCAAGATCCTGCAGATCCAGAGGCAGCCCAAATACCCTTGAAAGAGTGTATCCAGGAGAAACAAGCTTGACCACAATTCTATAATCAAATTCCCCCTGACCACTGACTGAGTCAGCCCTGAAGAATACAGAAGACAACACAACTGTGCTCGCTGTGGATGTCAAGGCCAACAAGCACCAGATCAAACGGGCTGTGAAGAAACTCAGTGACACTGATGTGGCCAAAGTCAACACCCTCATAAGGCCTGATGGAGAGAAGGCGGATGTTCAGGTGGCTCCTGGTTATGATGTTGCCAACGAAATCAGGGTCATCTAAACTGAGTCCAGTTGGCTACTTCTAAATAAACACCTTTTCACCATAAAAAAGACAATCATCAATCAAAAACATGGCCCGAAAGATGTTCACAGACCATCTGTTGGAAGCAATTCTTCCCAGCACAGTCTCTCTCTCCAGGTGAGTCTAGTGATGAAAACTCCCCAGCACACCATGGCACTACAGATGCAGCTGTCTCATCATCTTAGCTGCTGAGCAAGACAGCACCCCCTGACTAAAGCCCTCCAAGTACAGAATAAGCCTTTTAACAACTACCAGACCACTGTGTTGCCTTTAGGAATTAATGTTTCATGCTACAGTGATCCCTAAAAGGCAGTTACTGCACCCGACTCATTTCTGATCTCTAGCGCCTAACCAAGTGGCTCAGCCCAAGACTGTTATCCTAAGTTCCCATGGCAGATTTATTAGAACAATCCCCATGAAAGAGCCCTTCACTCTTCACTTGGAAATCCTGTAATCCCAACATCAACCAATAAGAGAAACTGGGGACAAGTCATGCTATCTCTGTCTGGAGTTACTCAGTAGGAGGTACCATAAACTGACAGAACTAATGTTTATCAGAAAACCAAGTAGAAACAGAAAGTACATAGACATGCCCTGGAATTTGAGAGGCTCTAACAAAGAGGTAACATTTCGAGCTACAACCCATGAATGACTTAAGAGTGGACAGAGACATGGTGTAGGGGGTTCTTCTGTTCATGTGGTGTTTTCATTGGCTAATTAATAGAGAAACTGCTTTAGGCCTGATAGGACAGAACTTGGGTAGGCGGAGAAGACAGAAATGAATGCTGGGAAGAAGGGCAGAGTGAGAGACGCCATCGATCTTCTGCCTGAGATGGACGCTGGTTAGAATCTTGCCAGTAAGCCACTGGCATGTGGCGATACACAGATTAATAGAAATGGGTTAAATTAAGATATGAGAATTAGCCAATAAGAAACTAGAGCTAATGGGCCAAGCAGTGTTTAATGAATACAATTTCTGTGTGGTTATTTTGGTTGTCAGCTAGCCGGGTGGTCAGGACAAACAAGGGGCCACCTCGCCTTGCAACAGAGACAAATGCCACATTCCAATGTAGAAAGATCAGCATTCAAGAGCAAAAGAAAAGCACCAAAAAACAAAGTGATTCAAGGAGTCACTCGAGTGTAGTACATTCTATTGAAGCCTAAATACTACTGGACTCTGTACTGGCTAGTTTTATGTCAGCTTGACACTAGTTGGAACCATAATTTAGGAGGGACTCTCGATTGAGAAAATATTTTCATGACATCAGGCTATAGGCAAGTCTGTAGGGCATTTTCTTAATTAGTGATCAATTACAGTGGTATATTATTTGTGTTTTAATAAATTAAGCTTGCCTTAAGATCAGAGGACAAAGCAGCCAGACTAGTCAGTCACTCAAGCTAGAGAGTGCTGACACACACCTTTAATACCAGGACTCGGGAGAAAGAGGCAGTTGGATCTCTGTAAATTCAAGGCTACCCTGGGCTACACAAGATGGAACCAGAAACAGATCCGGGTGATAGTGGTTCACACCTTTAATCCCAGTGTTTGGGAGTCACACACTTTTAATCCCAGCACTAGGGAGGTGGAGACAGGATTGATATGGCCGAGTGGAAAGAGGAATATAAAGGAATATAAAGAGATAGGAACTCACTGGAGGGTGGAGTCTGAGGATTTGTGGAGACAGGATCTCACCCTTTCGGTATTAAGATTTGGTAAAGGTAAAAGGTCTCTGTAGTGGTTGGTTGCTTTGCTTTCCTTATTTCAGCTTGAACCCCAATATCTGCCTCTGGGTTTTTATTATTCATGCTACAGTCAATGGGGGAGGGCAGAGCCTATTATGGGTGGGGCCATCCCTGGGCTTGGGATCCTGGTTCTATAAGAAATTAGGTTGAACAAGCCATAAGGAGCCAGCCAGGAAACAGCACTCCTCCACGGTCTCTCCATCAGTGCATACCCTCCAGCTTCCGGCCCTGTTTTGAGTTCCTATCCTGACTTCCTTCAGTGAGAGACTACAATGTGGAAGTGTAAGTCAAACTTTTTCATCCCCCACTTGCCTTTGATCATGAGGTTTCACCGCAGAAATAGAAACCCTAAGACATTTTGTGAGCCTCTATGTAGGCACTAGGAACTCGAGTCCTCCCTCTGTCGGTGCAGCAAGTCCTCTTAAACACTGAGCTGTCTCTCCAGCCCTCTTGGGGAAAAAAATCATTATTATTTTGTTTATTTAAGTGCTAATTATTGAAGTATGCTAAGCATAGTGGGAAGTGGGGGGCCTAAAACTATAAGGAGGAATCTCCAGTTTAACAACCAAACCCTGACTGTTTGGAGCTTGGCCCCAATGACTTGAGATGCCTTATACAAACATTTAGAGCTTAATTTGAATGACCCACGAAAAGTCAGTCTCAAGAAGATAGACCCTACGGCATTGTGTTTCTTTCTCCAAATAGTAAATCTTCCAAAAAACAAAATTGAAGCCCCTCAGCATTCATTTACTTGTGACAGAAAGTCCTGAAGTTAGACCAATACCATATTCATTGGTCTGCTCCAAAGCACCACGTCTTTCCGAAAATCCACACAAAGCAAATGGAGAAGACATCCGTTCCCTTAGCAACTTTCATTTTAAATTAAAGCCTCTTGAGTTGTTTCAGTCGCTAACTCTCTGCCTTAAACAGCCAATGTCTCCCAACCTCCCTTGGAAATACGAGTTTGGCATAACTTTATCGAGATGTTTTAAAGCACATTCAGTTGCCAAAGAGAATGAAAAATGCCCATGTTCACGGAAGGCAAAGAAAGTTAGATCCATGTACCACAAGCTTCCACAAGGAAGGGGTTCACTCCACAAACAAATCTTTCTGACTTTACTTTGGAAAAGTCAAACCGGTGCAAACTGCAGAACACTCCTGTTTCCTGAACACTGAGGCTCCACATGCTCTCGACACTAACAGGGACCGGGGAGGTCGTCCACACTAGGTCCGACCGGGGTTCAGGCTACGTGCGACAGCGCCGTACCTCGTTCAGGACCCAAGATAAAAAGAAAATCTCTCGGGGCCAAGCAGACCTGCTTCCAGGGTAGGGTTGCAACTCCGCTGGGCTCCGGTCGCGGGAGCGTTCAGGTGCGCCTGCCTTGTCGCCTAGCAACGGTGAAGCTGTCCGTGGTTCCGGACTCGTCGATTCCTCCCGCCCCTGGGTGAGTGGGTTTTTAAAAGGTTTGTTTCCGGGTCGAGCGTGCTTTTACGCAACGTAAGGTCTCTTAGCCTCCCTTGTTTAGCCTTGGGGGAAGATAGAGTCTCGGTGGGGCAACGGGTGCTGTCGCTCAGGGTTCCTTTCTCCTCCCTCAAGTTAACGCCTCCACTCCCGCCAATTGCTGAGCGCCATCAGTCAGGCGTTTCAACCTCGCAAATCCTCCGCTCACGGCCGTCCTCCAATCACAGAGGCTCAAACCCGGGGACTACTTTGCAATCCGCGAAGCGAGCCGAAAGAAAGGGCTTTCGGGAATTGTAGTTTCTAACTAGCAGGGATGCACGGAAGTCGGAGCTAGAGACCCGCCGGGTGAACTACACTTCCCAGAAAGTGCGGGGAAAACCTGCTGAACCTTTCCTGGCGAGCCCAGCTCTCTCTCCCAGAAACGGTTTTGCTGTAGAGGTGACCTGACTCCTGGTGACAGCTTTGCAGGTGCAGAAATCGTCTTCGCAATTCTCAATAATGGTGAGTGTGGGCTCCTAGATCCTGCAGCAACTCAGGCCTCTCGGCCGCAGCCTGGCCTTGACGCCCTTTAGAAAAGCCCTAATGCCAGGCACTGTCTTTCGCACCGTTTGCAAAACCCGACTCATCCTCCGGACTGTCGCAGTAACCCAGTAATTGGAAAGGGGTTCGCTTCCTTTTAGGATCTCTTAAAAGGACTCTAGAGAAGTCGCTGTCCTTGGAGAGACGCATCTCAATCCTGACGCATGCTGAGGGACAAAATTTTCTCTGAAGGACGTTAAAGGATTTGACGGGGATGAGATTTGGTTGGAGGGAAAGAATTGGGTCCTAACCTCTATTTTGCCTCTTAAGCTCTTAGAAGGAGTAGGCCTGTGATATTGAGGTTAAGTAGTGCTCTAAGTTATGATCCCAGTTTTCAGGAGACATGCGTTCGCCATATCTAATTTCAAAGGAAAAAATGTTACTGGAAACCTATTCTTGATCTTCTTTTGTAAAGCTAGGACTCGTTAGAATCTCTAGTCAAACAATTGGGTGGATATTTTTTACTATTCTGTCATGCGTTGCAGAATACCTTCTTGCGGATGTAACGCAACCATCTTGTTAAAGCTCTAGATGGCTGGATCTTCCTGCCTTGTCCCGCCTGAAGGGGGGTGGGGGGTGTGAAGGAACTCTGACGTAGGAATAGTCTGTGTGCTGTTTGAAGGTGACATTTATCACCGGAGTGGAAATTGCTACAATACTTTAGAGTTTATATTTTCAAGATACTTTTTCTCCTTTAATCTCAAGATGGGGAGTGTGAGAAAATATTTGGAAGAATTGTAAATTTCGCAGAATCTAAAAAGACATGCTTCAAAGCAAGGACAAAAAGTCTCTCAACCTCTATGAGACCCCAAGGGGACAACTGCTAATTCCCAGTAACGGTTGCCTAGTTGTTTGGGCACATGCGTAGTTATTTAAATTATGGCCTAAGCGGTTTCTGCTATAGTGGTTTTAGTCATAAAATGGAGGCAGTTATCCAAGAACTTCAGACTTTAGAATTTTAGGTCGAAATGAAAACCTTTTAAAAAAATCATCCCAGCCAAGATCCCACTTAAAATACTAAAATTTAGTTTTTGAGACCAGAATATGAGTTCTCAAGGTCACAAGATTTGCACCCAGGGTCTCTTACTTAATCTTCCCATTTTACCTTGACTGTAGTATGCATTACTTAATCTTCCCATTTTACCTTGACTGTAGTATGCATTTGGCAAGTCTGCTCTTAAAACAACCTGGCAAGGTCATTGATTTCCCAAGGTCATGGCAATCCAGGGCCCCTGATTATAGTGTTGCATTCCCTATACAGTCGACGGAACCCCTAGAAGGTCACATCTGCGCCAGATGACATGAGATGGTCCAGGAAGAAGAGGTCTGTCATGTTGCAATCGCACATGATTCAGAACCTTCATACTTCCTGGGAAGAGTACGTGGGCAAATTACAGAAAAAAGCTGTGAGCTCCACTCAGGGTGGTGGTGCATTCCTTGAGTCGCAGCTCTTGGGAGGCAGAGACACATGGAACTCTTATGATTTCAAAACCAGCCTTCTCTGTGGACCAAGTTCCAGCCACCCAGGGCTGTGGAGGGAGACCCTGTCTCACAAAGAAGGAAAAGAGCTGTCTTTTTTTTGTAAGCCAATCAAAAGCATTTTTAGAGGAACTCTGCCATTGTCCACAAGGGAGTGACCTAAGAATTCACCTGGAGGACTCTAAATGACACCGCTTCTTCTCTTTCATATTGCAATAATACCTGTAAGCTAGAAAGTAAAAAGAGGGATGCTATTACTAAGAGTCAAGCTTTTCAATCAAGTAGCACATTTTTAAGATAGCCTGTATCCCCAGGAAGGTCATTAATGCCCTGCCAAAAGAGAAGCCGTTCCTTTTTGGATCTGGGCAGAATGCCCAGATATCTGAGCAGAGAATAGTAACCTGCGTTGGCACTGCTGCATTGTGGGAAGTCAGCGGGACTCTCCTACCTTCCTGCTTTCCAACTGCAGTGTCTCAGGGGAGCAGAAAGAACCAAACTGGTGTTTCCCTTACCTATTTCATCATCGTCATGCAGATACAAAGGGAGCCCTTAAGATGCCGGTGCCTAGACACAGAAGGAGCCTGCAGAGGTAGAATCAGCTGTTGGTTAGGTGGCCACCACCTCTTTAATGCAGACTGCGATACTGGAAATACCTTGTTGATAAATGACTACATCACTCTGTTCTAACTAGTCTTTCTGGAAGGTTAAACTTTATAGATGTAGTTGACACATTCTCATTTCTTTTTGTTTGTTTTGTTTTGGGTTGTTTTTTTTTTCTTTCTCAAGGCGGTTTCTCTGTGTAACCTTGGCTATTCTAGAACTCTCTCTGTAGACTAGGATGGCCTCCCTAGTGCTGGGATGAAAGGTGTGGACAGCCACCTTCTGGCTCCCCCTCATTTCTTACCCAGCTTGCACCTGTTCTTTTCTGTCAGCTGAGATGTAGCAGTGAACCGAATTCAGATGATAGGAAGATGAAATGGCAAAGCCCCCAGAAGAGGGAAGCAGCTTCTCCCTTCTCATTTCTCAACTTCAAAGGGAAAGATAACTAGATGAAATATATATATATATATATGATATATAATAGTAATGTTTCCTAATCATGATATCTCAGAACACAACAGTTGTAGAGCTGTGTATAGCACAGTAACTGTATAGAGTAATGTGCGTTAGTCATACATATAGTTTGTTTTGGACATAGATACATGTCTTATTAAGTACATACTACTATAGATGCATATTATTATTAAAATTGGCTTATGTGGATATTAAATTTAATATATCTAGAGATATGGAAAAATAGGGGAGAGATCCAGGGATCAAGAAGAATTTTTCTCCATAGCTTTCTGGGGTTTTATCTTTGGTTATATTTTTCTACTCCTATCCTGGGCATGTTTTTTGAAGAAGAAATGCAAGTAAAATCTACTATGATCAAATTTATTTCTTTGAGCCTTTCTGTCCCTGGCCCTGCACTCTCAGGTGTTGCGTGTGTCACTTCCTGCTCTTGCGCCATAAAGATGTTTTCAGGTCACTGGGGTCATGGCCCTCCTCATGGTCCACCACCCCCTGGTCCAGGACACTGTCACCCTGATTTTCACCATCACCATGGCCCCAGGCACCATGGTCCTCACCATCACCATGGCCCTGGGCACTGTGGCCCTTACCATCACCATGGTCCACATCACTGAGAAATGAGAAGACAAGACGAGAGGACACAAGATGAAGGGGTTACACAGAACCCATCTCCCCGTCTTACCCAGAATTTTCCCTTCCAAATAAATAGCCTCCTGGAGGCCATGTTTGTTCTCCCCAGAGGTTTTGTTTCTTCATGTCCAACTTGGTACTTGCAGACCAGTTCTTTCTAGATTTCCTTGTTGTGTAAACCGGATGTCCATCTTGGCATTCCCAGAAGCTTGACTTGGTAGTGACCACAACACAGGGCTGCTTGAGACTACTGATCTGAGTACTGTCTGTCCTTCCACTCCTGTCTGGTTGCTCATGTCGGTCTGCATACATTCTCACCATTTCCTGAAAACACACTGAACTCCCAACCTCCTTTTATTTTATTTTATTTTATTTTATTTTATCTTCTCTTAAAATAAAATGGAGCTAAACATTTAAAAAAAACAAATTTATTTCTTTATAACAATTAATACTTATTTCCTGAGTTTCTTTTCTTTTTTGTGTCTGTGGGGACGAAGTTACTGAGTGCTGTTGATTTCAGGCACCCCGCCTTCCGTCTCAGACAGATGGCTCACCTAAAGAGGCTGCTCTAAATAAAGAGAGAAATCAAATGTTTAGTGGGCCATTTCTTCATGCAAGGAGGGACCAGGGTAACACGGAGCACCAGTACAGTGCTCAGCATTGTCACGGAAGGGAAGAGCTTATCTTGATTCCATTCTATGAATTCACTAAGCCTTTTTCCATTACTCAGCCGTCATTTTGAATACAGTTGTTATTTTAGTCTGTGTCTTATTTTATTCAGAGTCTCTTCGCCTGGAGAGCTGCGCTTTTTTTTTTCTATTATGTAACTGTTGTGCTTTTTTTTTTTTATGGTTTCTCTTCCTTCTTTTAAAACATACTTTTCCCTTTGAACCAGAATGTCAGCTATGCCGTCGTGATTTAGTACAGTATTTAATACTAAAATTTATTATATTCCAGATACTAATAATTTTCTCCTTGAAAAGAAAATTAAAGGTTTGGACCAGCAAGATGGCTCAGTGGGTAAAGGGAACTTGCTGCCAAGTCTGACGATCTGAGTTCAACCCCCAGGACCCACAAAATGGAAGGGACAACCCAACCCCTACAGTGCTGTGTCACGTGTACACCACCCCGTATACTTTAAATAAAGATAGTTTTTAAAATAAAGGCTTAACAGTGAGTGTAGTGGTGCACTCCTTTAATGCCAGCATTGCGGGGAGGGGTGGCAGAGGCAGGGGGGGTCTCTGTCAGTTCGAGGCTAGCCGAATCTATAGAGGGAGACCCTGCCTCTAAATAAGTACAGGCTTGTTTTTGCTCTTTGGTTAGTTAAGTCAAACAGGATTGTTTTATTAAACCTTTTTGGTTTAAAGGGAAAGTTGT